TTAGAACTGAAGAAGCTTCTCGGATGAGAGGTGAAACGTCTTCAAGTAACTTAAAGAAGTCCAGACGCTTTTCTTTGCAAGCTCCTTTGAAATGTCTGGTAGTGTAATCATTTGTTTTACAGTGACTGTCTATCTTTTGCTCAGTTCATGGTGATTACATCAAACTTCTGTCACGCTGAGGTTAAGTCATGCTTCTGCTGTAGATCTAAAATATGCTCCCACACTTCTGGTGGGCTTAAGAGTCAATGTTTTTTAATGTTACCTTTATTTTTCTTAGCAAATGATTTAATAATCGATCAACATTAATTTATCCTGCCTTACAGAGACCTGCTGGTCACAGCTTGATGGCTTTTCATCTGTTTTCAGTTCATCCATCCATCCATATTCTTCTGCTTATGCAGGGCTAGGTCACAGGGTCAAATCCTCTAGCTTATCCGGGGGAACACCAAGGCCCCGGGGCCTCCTCCCGATGGGACACGGCTGGAACACCTCACCCAGGAGGCATCCTTATCAGAAGCCCTAACTATGTTAACTGGCTCCTTTCGGTGTGGAGGAGCAGCGGCTTTACTCTAATCCCCTCCTGAATGGCCGAACTCCTCACCCTATCTCTAAGGGAGAGGCCAGCCACCCTTCAGAGGAAGCTCATTTCTGCCGGTTGTATCCGCGATCTCGTTCTTTGGGTCACTACCCACAGCTCGTGACCATAGGTGAGGCTAGGGACGTAGATTGACCGGTAAATTGAGAGCTTGGCTTTTACACTCAGCTCTGTCCTCACCAAGATGGATGGGTACAGCATCTGTATCTGTGAGAGACCAACAGACCTCTCTGTGGATCCCCTGCTGCCTTCTCCCCTCACTCATGAACAAGACAAGACCCCGACATACTTAAACTCCTCCACTTGGGACAGTAACTCGACCCTGACCGGGAGTGGGCACTCCACCCTTTTCCGGCTGAGGACCACGACCTCAGACTTGGAGGTGCTGATTCCCATTCCCGCCACTTCATACTCGGCTGTGCTCCACCTGATGAAGCCAACAGAACGACAAGCAGAGATGAAATTCTGAGGCCACCCAAGTGGAAGCCTTCATTCTGCTGTGAACCACAGAGTAGAATAAACTAAAGGGTCAGATGCATCTGTCAGGTCTTTGATGGATTTCTTTTCCTAATTCAAAAATACTATTTCATGCCAAACTGTCAAACTGTTATCTTTGGCATTTTGCATAAAATGAACTAAACAAATGTCAACCAGTTATGTGTGTTTGTGACAAATGCTTGTAACAAAGATTTAAAACAATTTAAAATAGTTGTTATTAATTTGTCTGCTCTGTGTAGACAAACACTGGTTCATTCCTTGAGTCAGGAGCCTTTTTATGTTTGAATGATTCACAGGAAGGCGTGTCGGTGTGAGAGCTGGTGTTTTGAAACTTATGCACATTACTATATTTCAACGAATATAAACACAAATCAAGCATTTTATTGTAGAAAAGTGTAGAAATACTGACCTAAGTGCAAAGACTGTACTCCTAAAATAGTTCTGCCTTTATTCTATGACACCTTTAGCTTATTTCATCTTTTCTTTGCCTTATTCACAGTTACCTGACTGACCAGTGCTGGAATGGAGGCTGTATTTACCTGATACTGCTGCGGCGAGTCAAGCGAAAGGCTCCTCTTCCTCCCTGCGAGGCAGCTGAAAGTGTTTGTATCCCACTCACCAGTGACAACTGTGAAGACCAGCGTCGCAGCACATCTGAGTCCTCCGACAGCTCTGCAAATTACAGACGCACACGTAAATTTGGAGTGATATCACGCTCATCCTTCAACCAAGAGGACAGGCAGCGTACGAGTTCAGAAGTCCGGAGGTCTTATCATGACTACAGTTCTCATCCTGAGAATATAGAAACTAGTCCTCCAGATAACTCAGCTCACATCCTCCCCACACCTTCTAAGGAAAGCCCGGACCACTGTTCTCAGGTCAGAGCTGCTCCCCAGCGTCAACACGGTGGCGAGGCTGCCCCCCAGCCGCTAAGGTGTTACAGTCAGCTGCTAGAGTTCAAAATGGATTCTTCCTGCAGTGAATATTTATGCCAGGTGAGACAAATCGGATCAATGCTCGTCTGTTAGAAGCTTCCAACGTGTTTTACTCAGTAACTGTTTCAATGAGAAGCAAATACAATCTACTGTGGTGCAGCTGTTGATAGGTTCATCTAGCATAAACCCATTGCTGGAACGCCAAGACAATTGTACTCCAATGGCAACAGCAAAACGAAAGTCACCAGAGCTCTTTGTGTGACCTCGTGCACGAGGGAGACGCCTGAGACGAGCGCTGTTCCTGCCGCTCAAACCCCAGCCACTCTCAGTCAGCTCCCCCATAGCACTGCTCTTTATCGTGGTTACATGAATATGCATAGGTTCATTAACATATGACATCTTACACAGGCATACATGTGAACAAAGAGTACCATCTGGGTGTATGTGTGTGTATCAAGATATGGCCCTGTGAACGCCTCCTTAAAAAGCTGGTACTAGGAGTCCAGCGGTCCACCTAAACAAAAGGCTCTTATACTAAAAGAGATACAGATACAATCCTCCTGTACCATAAATCAGGAAGGGAAGGTATGACCTCTCATGGCCTGAGGATGTGTGCATATGCCAGAACACTCTGGAAGGCACACAGAGTCTGAATCTGTGGCAAGATCTGAAAACTGCTGTTCACAAACGCTGTCCATCTAATCTAACTGAGCTGAAGCTGTTTGCAAAGAAGAATGGGCAAAGATTCAGTCTGTAGATGTGCAAAGCTGGCAGAGACAGACCCTAAAAGACTGGCAGCTGGAGCTGCAGCAAAAGGTGGTTCTACAAAGTGTTGACTCAGGGGCTGAATAATTACACACACCCCACTTTTCAGTTATTTATGTGTAAAAAAATGTTTGGAATCATGTATGATTTTCGTTCCACTTCTCACGTGTGCACCACTTTGTGTTGGTCTTTCATGTGGAAGTCCAATAACATTGATTCATGTTTGTGGCTGTAATGTGACAAAATGTGGAAAAGTTCAAGGGGGACGAATACTTTTGCAAGCCACTGTGCATTGTCAATATGGAGCAACCAACCAGCAGGGCAGAAAGTATAGTCGTTTGCAGGGGATAAGCTGGTGCTTTTTTGGTGATTTATCAACAGTGCCTCAATGGACCTTAACCACATGATTGCATATGACCAGCTGGTCCATGTAAGTTAGTCCATGTTTAATTAAAGATTTCCAAGGAAAGCAAGAGAGTAATGGGATAGCGGTTTAACATGTAGGTGTTGTGAGAAACAACTGGTATGTCATTCCTGTATATCATGCAAAATGTGTGTAGCTAGCTTATTTTTGCTTCTGTTTTCTACATAATTCATGTTTTTGCACATTACTGATAATATATCTAGTATGTAGTAACATTTATATCTGACTGTGTGTGATAAGTTGTTTGTTTTTCATGTGTTTTTTTGTAGCCCAGAGATACCAACCACATCTGGAAAATGCACATGGTGAAGGGTCAGGAGGGCCTTGGCATAAAGATCACAGGGGGGCGTGGCTCCAAGCGTTCCCCTCATGGCATCATCATTACACATATAGAGGAGGGAGGCGCCATTTACAGGTGAAGTTAGGAAGGAAAAATGTATAAAATACATGGTTTAGTTTATATTTGTTGACCTCTCTCCAACCCCCCTTCTGTGTGTGTGTGTCTGTTTTACAGGGATGGACGTCTTCATGCTGGTGATGAGTTACTGATGATTAATAATCAGTCTTTGGTGGGTCTTACTCATCAGGAGGCTGTTGATATCCTCCGCTCTGCTACAGGTCTGGTCCAGTTGGTGGTTGCCAGTAGGGTAAGTGCACAAACACAGACACTGGAGGCATGAGTGAGTTTGAACAGAAAGTGAGCCATTTATTGAGGCTAGAACCATAAGATAATTAAAAGGCAAAACGTGAAACTGAGACTAAAGTAACTAATTAATGCTTTGATCTTAAATATGATCAACCTATCTCTAATGATCAGCTATGTACCACAGGCCTTCAAGCTGGCTGCAGTTAAACCTTTACTCAAAAAGCATCTCTAGACCCAGCAGTCTTAGCTAATTATAGGCCAATCTCCAACCTTCCTTTATATCAAACATCCTTGAAAGAGTAGTTGTCAAACAGCTAACAGATCATCTGCAGAGGTTTATTTGAAGAGTTTCAGTCAGGTTTCAGAGCTCATCACAGCACAGAAACAGCTTTAGTGAAGGTTACAAATGATCTTCTTATGGCCTCTGACAGTGGACTCATCTCTGTGCTTGTCCTGCTAGACCTCAGTGCAGCGTTCGATACTGTCGACCATAATATCCTATTAGAGCGATTAGAACACAGACATCACATGGGGATACAAGTCAGAGAACGGTTGCATTACAGAAAAAAACACTGAAATATACACTACAATGGGAAAGTACAAGAGGAAAAAAAAGAGACCTCTGCTCATGCTGGGCTATAGAGGACAGCGTGAGAACAGGAAACAAAAAAACTCCTCTGCACAGAAAGCACATAAATGTCCACAGCACAACATTATAGAGCACGTGACCAGCAACAGGGTTGGGTAGGGGATAAGGAGTAATCCCAGGCAACACAGCAGCCATCCTGCCACTGCACGGGCACAGACCCGCCTCGTGTTCCCAGGAGGCTACAAGCATCGAAGGCATTGGAAGGGGAGGGGGGATGAGTGAGTGCTTATCAGTGTATATGTATGTGTGTGCGTGTCCATAGTTGAGCTGAGACAGTGTCCTTCGCCCTGCCAGGCTAAGTAAACAGTCTACCAGCCAACCCAGGTGGCCTTGTAGGGAATGGGAAGGAACAGACTCAACACATTCGTTATCAGGGTGGTGTTGTTCAGCTCCGGCCTTGAGCCCACAGCTGGCGCCGAAGGGGTAGCCGCATTATGATGGTAATTTTTCTTTTGCAAACAACTCGGGAGAATTTCAAGCTGTTTTTAACACTCCGACACTGATCTCTCAATCTCCCGTTAATAGCTGCGAGTTTCTCCGTGATGTTATTTACCTTCAATTCCATGGTCTTTTCAGTCTTTCGCTCACATAGCAGATTCTGAGACCTCACGACCGCAGCCAACTGATCCGCGATGTAATCCAGCTTCCGCCCAGAGATGTTGTTCCGAGTATTCACTGCGGCTGTAAGCGCCTCCAAGCTCTTAACCATGCTGCATTCAGTGAGCCCTTTCTGAGAAGCCGCACCTCGTCCCATCGTTTCAATCCCAGCGGGCAGCCTTGTGGGGGTTTGAACAGCTGGTTCCACTCTCTTAATTCTCCAATTAATCAGGGCCAAGCCAGCTCCGATCAGCAAGAACCCTGTTATCATGGTTCCGAATAGGTAGATATCTTCAGCGTCCTCGATCGACAGTCCCGCCAGGCACACGGTCCTCCATTTCTGGAGGAAATCAGCCATCCTACGTGCTGTTTGTTTGTACTTATGTACTAGCTTTAGGCAGTCCTTGCCAAAGTGGATTAAAATGTCTTGATGCATGCTCAATCATCCAGGTAAGGAAATCCGAAAGGGAAAAGGAAATTTCGGGGTCCCAGATTTAAGCCCTGTGGGAGTGTCCCCCCCCAAGAGGGACATGGACCCCCTAATGATCCTGAAGAAGCTTCTCAGATGTGAGAGGTGAAACGTCTTCAAGCAACTTAAAGAAGTCCAGATGCTTTTCTTTGCAAGCTCCTTAAACTAGTATGACAGTAGTAGGCTGCATTTTTGAAGGTTTTGTAAAAAATAAGGTTTGCATGTACACATCCATTGTTGTCCTTGCAGGAGGATTCAGATGTAGGCTTTGATCCTTTTCCATCCGCCAGTCTGCCAGACCTTGTCAGCACCTGCAGCTCCACTTCATCCCTGTCCCAGGCTGCTCACACCAAGACTTCCAACAGCAGCACCAGTCTGCACAAGTCCTACATGGTACAAACAGATAATATGTAAAGTGAGACAAATCGTTTTTTGACCTCTTGCTGAATTTGAAAGTTTGCTCACTTAGAATAAAAAGTTTTATGGTAGTTTTATTTTCACTGTGAGGGAGAATATCAACCAACATCCAGGAAGACACATGATGTGAAACTTATAAATGAATTTGAATGTCACTGAGTCAGTTAGTAGTGACTCCAGTAGTCAATGCTACCAGTGTTACAGCAGTTCATGAGTGAATGAACAGGATATAATTTCTCCCAACACTTGCATGTAGGGTCAGGGCTTCCACCTCAGCACGCAGGCAGTTCTACTGAGTCGTGCTAATGACCTGCTAATTGTATTCAGGTGTGTTGCAGCAGATGGAAAAGTTTCAGAACAGCGGCCCTCGAGGACTGGAGTTTGACAGCTGTGGTTTAGAGAGGTTCTTTCGACAGCACATGTCCAAGATACACGATCATAATTATAATATTTCTGTCTGAGTCAAAATTGAACTGAATTAAATCAGGACCCTGAGAATCAGAAGTGAAACCCCAAATATAACAGTAAACTTAAACACTGCTGCAAAAAAGATGAAATTAGTGTCGCAGAAAAAAACATTAATCTGGTGATTTAGCACGCAGCGAGTGCGCTCGGTGCTGCTTTTAATATCTGTGGTGATGGCTGCACTTTACAGTGTTAAAGCTTTGAACTGAAGTGTTAGAGCGTCGAGTGTTACTGTCCCACAGTCTAATAACAGAAACACAGAAATAGCTTTAGTTTTTTGGCAGATCAGTAAAATGTATTTTACTGTCTGAACAAATATTTGTTGTGTGTTCCTTGGTAGGTGCCAAAGGAGTGTCAGATGTTCATAGCTGCTTACAAAGAGCGTGTGCGTGTCCTTGCAGGTTGATAGCCTGGAGAAATTAGAAGAGCAAAGTCAGGAGGAAACAGCCCAAAGATCCTGCTGCAGCCCCACAGCCACGAAGCTGTGCAGCCGACCCCAGGGTTAGTGTTTCACAGAAACACACTGCTCAGTAACAACAACAACAACAACAAGATTTGAAATGTTTCTCTCGACCTAGGAGGGAGCACTCGCCTGGAATCAGTGGGTGAGGATGATGAGCTGTTTGTGGCTAATGGGACGAGCGCCTTTGAAATGGTGGAGAAGCCCGGCCGACGTAAACACTCCCTGCCTCAACAGCTGGACCCGTCTGGAGTGAGACAGGTCAGTCAGTGTCGGAGGTTCTTTCTCCCAGTGTTAGATGAAAAATGGCATGAGCGCTTACCTGAGAAAAATAAATCAGAATGATAGCCTCTTAATGTTGTGTAGCTAGATATACATTAACATAGACCTGTAACGTGTAACAGGAAAAAAAGGTATTTTCCTAATGTGTGAAAATGCAAATTATGTCAGAGACTGAGTGAAAGGTCTCATCACTATGTAAATAACTGTTTGGAAATTTATTTGTCAGACTTTGTTTTGCTTCATTCAATTTCCAGGAATATCAGATCATTAAGAAATCAGCTCGCTCCCTGAGCACTGTTCAAGTGGAATCTCCATGGCGACTGGCCCAGCCATCCATTATCTCCAGTATAGTATTAATGAAAGGTCAGGGCAAGGTAAGTGCACTCATTTGGCATGTGTACATGAATAAAGCTTTGAGCCTCTGAAAAGACCCATCTCTCTGCTGTTAATGTGTCCTTACATGATTTGTTAGCATCTGCTTGTGCTGTCTTTCTTCTTAATGATGTAAGTAATGAAAGGGCTCCCACAGTTGGCACAGCCCAAGCAGAGCGGACAGAGACGGATAGATGCAGCATAGACGAACAACAATAATGCTATAAAAGACAGATGAAGAAAATATGTAGACTATACAAAGTAGAACACACACACACAAACATATATATTTATTAATTCCCCTCTCGCGCCTGCGGGCGGTCTATCCTTCAAGCTCGGCCCTCTACCAGAGGCCTGGGAGCGTCCTGCTGTGCAGTATCTTTGCCTGTTTGAATGTTTGACGTGTTGGCCAGTTTGGCCAGTTTGGCCAGTTTGGCTTGTCCATGATGGTTGCTTCTCCTCTCTCTCAGGTACAGCCTCAGGGTGCTGGAGTTGGTGTGAAGCCCTCCATGCATAGTAAAGACCTTCCTTGTCTTGATGCCAGTGGTTTCTGTCTCCTCCTTTAGCCAGCTTATTATCCCAGCAGGTTATAATAGTAGATGCTGTTCGCCTCTATCTGGTTCTTACCATTCAGTGGACTCCTCGGGACTTGCCTTACTTTATATAAGTATATAAGTATAAGTATTTGGTGATTGCAGCTTTCTTAGTGACCTCTTCGGTTTTCCTACTTACCTGTAGGGTCCCCAGGTACTTGTAGCTGCCCTCGATGTCTGCAATGTTGATCCTCTCAGTTCTGACTACCTTCCCTCTCTTTGATATCATCTGACTACACTTCTCCAGTCCGAATGACATCCCAATGTCATTGCTGTATATCCTGGTGGTGTGGATCAGTGAATCGATGTCTCCTTCACTCCTGGCGTACAGCTTGATGTCATCCATGTACAGGAGGTGGCTGACAGCTGCTGCGTTCCGTAGTCGGTATCTGTAGACAGTTTTGTTGATGATCTCAATGAGGGGGGTCAGGCCTATGCAGAACAGCAGTGGGGACAGAGCATCTCCTTGGTAGCTCCCGCACTTAGTGGTGAAATATGAGCTTGAAGTTGGCCTCTAGTGTTGTGCGCCACATCCCCATTGAGTTCCTGATGAAGGCTCTTAGGGTCCTGTTGATCTTGTATAGTTCTCAGCATTCCAGGATCCATGTGTGGGGCATTGAGTTACTGGCTCTCTTGTAGTCAGTCCAGGTAGTGCACGGGTTGGTCAGTCTGGTCTTACAGTCCCAGGCGACTGTTCTGTCTATCAGTAGCTGGTGTGTCACCCTTCTCTTTCATATGAGTGCTGCCAGACAACTTCAACCAGCAGGCGTGAACCATGTCAGGGCCTGGAGCTGTGCAACTCTTCATCCTTCTCCTGTCTGCTCTGGCTCCAGTTCATGTGAGGCTGTTCTCATATTGTAACTCTCTGGTGTACCTCTTCAAGCTACTGTCTAAGGCTGTGAGCATTTACTTGGCAGTTTTCAAGGCCTCGGGTATGGACAGCCTGCTGTACTTCTTAGGCGTCCCTTTCTTTATCACACCTTTCTGCAGCTCTGATAGTTGGCTAACTTCATTCTAGACTAGCTCGAGTCTCCTTCTCCATGGAGGGTACTGCTCCTTGCTGCTGTTCGTCTTAAAGCCAAACATCTTTGTGATCCCTGCTGCTGTGCTGTAGATCAGCTTGTTGGCTTCCCTGATGATCCCAGTAAGGACTGCCTGTAATGTTGCATTCACTTCTTCTTGTAGACCTTCAGAGAGGACTTCACGTAGTCTTGGTAGTCAGAAACCTGGACCCTCCCTGACTGTGGTCTAGTTTTCCAGCTTCACCAGGTCAGCTTCTCTTGCACTCAATGCACCTCTCGTGGGCTTGGTACCCAATACAGGTGACGGTGATGACATCTCCCCCTGACCTGAAGCCCTGGTTCCCCTTTGCTGTAGCACTTGTGTTGTACCTCATTAGTTGGGATTAGCAGTTCCTTCTATGGAAGGCTGGAACACGGAGCTACTCTTTGTTTCACCGTCAGTCTGGATGTTGGGTATCAAAGACTCCAGAGGTCCCACATCCTTTCATGTAACCCTTTCGCTGCATAGTAACCCAGTTCCCAACAGTTTTAGTTTTTCTTCTCTTAGCTGCAGAGTACTGTCTCAGGATTTAAAAGCATTAAATATAAAAACATTATATTTATTGCTGAAGCTTATCAATTAAAACAAAGACATAAGACACTAATTAAAAACTTTAAACCCTCCTATTCTCCTGCAGAGAGGTCTGAGGGATTTTCTATGTGTTGACCTCTAATCTGCACAAGTTACCGTGGTGATTTATCCCAATAAGAAGTAAATCAGCTTCTTCTTAGAGAAGACCCAGGGTTAACCCTGAGGTTACCAGGATAAACCAGATAGTACAGGGTCCTGTTCCAAATGTAGGAAACTCAGATTTACTGTTCCAGAAAGAGACCTGAACTCTGAGTCAGTTACCAGTGTAACTGAAACCTTAACCTGCTCTCTGGCAGTTTTTCATCAACAAACGATGGATGTGTTTCTGACTCGGAGTAAACTGGTTTGTGGAAGTTTATGCACAGGATAAAATCACAATTAGATATTAGTTTGCTGCTTTGTGTACTTAACATGAGCACTTTGACGGTGATTCAGTCATCAGTATAGGACGGAAACAGCGATTAGGTCATTGATTTATAATCAGCTCAGAATAAAATCTTCAGTGTCCATCTTTCTAAAGCTGTGGGTGGTGATGCAGCTCCTCCCGGCACTGCAAACATGTACATAACAAATGTCTCAGTCTCAGAGCTAGCTCAAATAGCTTTTGCGCCCAGGGTCCGTTTGTCCTCAAACATATAACATGTCTTTAGTCTGATCTAATACCTGAATTAATCTAAGACAGTGGGGTAAAAGTAACATTTCTGTGTCTTTTAGTAGTTGCTCCCAGGTTCTTAAACTTAGATTTTCCTGCAGTTATTATTATTGTTGTTGTTTTTTGTTTGCTTTCACAGATGATATTTGAAAAACTTAAATAATTATTTAGGTTTTTATCTTTTATTTCTTGTTTCTAATTAGTGAGCTAATTTCCTCTCAGATGTGGAGGTGCATCTACTTGTCTGCAGTTGTTGCCTTTGAAATGTGATTGAAATCTTATTGAAAGCGTAGAAACACTGTCCATACATTACTCTGCATTCATTCATGTTACAGCATTGTTAGATCACGGTGAGTGTCCTTATTTTATTTAAATTTCTGTTTTTCAAGTCATTTTAGTGACAAGCAAAGTAGTTCTCACTCAGTGACACCGTAAGCTAACAGCTAATAAGCTAATAGCTGACTGAGTTCACCATGGTAACTGAGGCAGACTGCTAAGATGTTAAACTGTAGACAGTGTGTTTAGTCTGACATACATACAGTTTGTTTTTACTGCAGTGCTCTCCGTTGTATATGGAGATAACGGTGTCTAATCTTTTACATTTAAGATGAAGGAGCTAAAGAAAAAATCTGAACTAATGAAAAAAGCTCAGTAATTGTTAGGGAAGTGACATGAGCTGGTTAAAGCAAAGAGAAAGTGGTTTGATCATGTAGAGAAATGGCTGAAATTTATTGGAGGAATATCTTGCTGCTCATTCAGAGCAAATGCTGAGTTCTTCTCTTTCTGAAACAATGTCGCAGTGTTTTTGTTCAGGGAAATATTAAGCAGCCTTTTGAAAGCTAGAATTCTTGTTTTGGACTTGTTATCAGCCTCTTGGAAAAATGTCAAACAGACTACTACTAGAACCCTACAGAGTCCAGACGAGGTGTTTTCTGTTTTTTTTAATTTTATTTCATTTTCTTATTTATGTTAAG